TATTTTGGACATTCTTGTGAGATTTTGTTAGTAAAATAGATCGATACCGCGTCAGTGTATCACTCTCATTAAATAAGGCAAAATTTCGTGAATTTTCGGGGGATTTCGTAGCATAACGATGACATATAGCAATATTTCATTAGTAAAAGAGATTGATATGGTGTTTTTAAATGGAAATATATCAGCATATGAAGATATTGGGATATTGTAATGTATCAATATTTTTTTCCCTTGTCTTTAAAAGCTTTTAAGTCTGTAAAAAAGAAGTTTTTGAGGAAGAAGAAGTAGTTTTTTTTTTGTTTTTTTCCTTTAGTCACTCAGAAGCTGATTAAATATCTGGTTAAATATCGGTGGGGTGGCCGATGTCCGATATTCAGTTTTAAGGCCGATACCGATAGGGGGCCGATTATATCGTGCATCCCTAAAAAAAACACAGATTTTAAGACAGGATTTTTTAAAAATTTAAATTTTCAAAATTTTGGGACAATATCGTCTGATAAAGAGTACATCGATATACATGTTTAAGCCAGAATGATTCCACATTTAAATATGACTTCGCAACGACTTTAAAAAAGATTATATAGGATCTTTAAAGCCTTTCAAAATGCTACGTTTAATTAAAAACTGGTTTATTTTACCTGTAGGCAGCATATAAGGAGGGGCATGTGGGCGATAATCACTTTACTAGAGGTCTTTGACTGCAGCTTCTCCGACAGTTTGGTGCAAAGGTTCTCAGCTCCTGGAGGAAAAAAAGCAAACAGTTTGAAATTCGCATCAGTTGAACGTAGTCATTGTTAAACTAGGTGAGAAAAGCCAATCTTTACCCTGTTCCTCTGTTACAGCCCAGACCATGAGGTCAACACAGGCAGCGTTGGCCTGACAGCGCAGCTTGAGCGGGCTCAGTTCGCTCTGGAGATACTCCACATCATGGAGAATCCTCTGCAGCTCTGATTGGCTGCTGCTGAACTGCTCCAGGACAAAGTCATGGACTTCTTTCACATAGTCCGTCTGAAGGTCTAAACCGTGAAAAACATCATTTATTATACAGACTACCACAATGCTTCAATGCTGTTTTTTTAATTATCATTTAAAAGATTTGCGGCCTTACCTTTTAAATTGTACAGAGTGTCTCTCAGCATTTTAAATATGGCCACATATAATGGATCACTGAATGTTTTGTAGTGGAAATGGATGCCAGGATTGCTCTACCAGGAGAAAAGCACCATTATTATGATGAATCAGTGAGAAGTTCAAAATGACTTTTTACTGTAACTGAAAATATAGAGGATGATCTTTTATTTCCGGGTGGATCATCTAAATAAGTGGTCCTCCTAATTGTCAATCATTCTGGTGATATGTGTAGGTAAGGCCGTCCTACGTGCTCGTCCCGTTAGCTATCTTTTTCTGCTCATGAACACTTTCAGGCGTATATCTGTGGTGAGCTACGTTTTCAGACAGTCATTGAAGCTCACCTTTCTCACAGTGGTTCTTTGAAAATGGCCGAGGGTCGTAAGAGAAAAAGTGTCTACGAAGCGTATGAGAAGAAAAGAAAGGCCTCAGAAGAGGCAGTTATATCCCAGAATGCTTTGTGAGGAGAGCTCCCCTCGCAAAGAATTGTGGGAATTGCTGTCACAGTGGCCTGTGTCGCGATAGGCTGTAGCTACCCGACAGCGGTGACTAACAAAGATGGCA